TATATATATATTATTCTATTATATCTATAATTCATAGAATTATATTATATCTATAATTTTAATCATTAAAAATATTTTTTTTAATTTAATTTAATAATATACATGTTAATTAAAGTCATTAAATTTTTCTTTTTTTTTTATTTAAATTATAAAGTATTTTTTATGAATTGTTATTCTATTGTCTTATTTGTTGCATTAAACAAAATTACATAAATTTTAACATATATTTAATAAATAATTAACTAAAATATAAAATATTAATAAGAGATAAATCTTATAATCTGTTCAATATATTAAATTAACTACAATTAACATTATAATCAACATACCCTATATTCAGAAGTTGGACATCTTCTTTGAGAGACATTTTGAATAATATTTTTATCAGAACGGCTTGTACAATCATCTTTATAACCAATTCCAGAATCACTATTACTTGAATGAGCTGTTGATGTACTTATATTGCTCGGTTGTGGAGAAGCTGTTTCTTGATGTCTTCGCATTTCATTATATGGATTTGTATCAGTAGTTGCAGAATCTGATATGTACAGAGTTTGTATAGCACCTATTAAACCATTGCAACTATCTGGAAATTCCTGACATACATTTAATTCAGAAGTTTTGGTGCATGTAAATCCAAATATATTGCATACACTAGAATGCACTACATGATCAATTAATTTATAATAAATTGTAAAAACATGACAAGAATTTGAAACAATATTTTCTTTATCTTTAACAGATTTAGTTAATATGCCAAAATATTGTTTGTCCTGTTCAGAAAAGGAATTACAAAATATTATTCTATAGGATGGATATTCTGCTATAATACGATTTTCTGAATTAGTAAGTTTTATATTTGCTACATGTATTGTTAACAACACCGTAGTTGGATTTCTTTTTTCAGCTTTCAATCGTTTGATACATTTTCTCAATACCTGGAGAAATAAATAAAAATTAATAAAATCATATGTAAATCAACTATTTCATAAGTTTAAAAAATAATATTATCAGAATTACATATTACCTGCATCATACATGATGGATGTAATTGATTTGGAATGTCTATAGTACCAAGATAACCAACAACTGTTCTATGTACTATTTTCTCAGAATCTCTTTTATGAGATGTTGGTGGTGGTGGTGGTGGAAGAGGACTAGACATATCCCAATGATAATGTAAGTTACAATAATTTCCATGATTTTGCAATTCAGGTGGTGTTTTTCCAGCTACATCAAACATAGCACCACTTTGTAAGTCTCGTACAACTTTAGCAACTCTACATTGTAATTGTAATGCTCCAATGTTACTTGTACGAGGTTTATGAATATATTTAGGTTTGCAGCGTATTGCTGTTAATCCTTCTTCATCCGAAGAATCAGAATAATAATTTTCAGCTATTTGTAATTTTAAAATACCCTTAGAACGACCAATTAATTGTACAACATCATCATGTGGTAGTTTACTAACATTGTGACCATTTACAGATACTAAATAATCGCCGGCTCGTAATCCAGCAATATCTGCAGGACTCCCTGGAACGATGCAACTCAATATGCAGGGTTGTTGTCCCGAGATCGTGAAACCAAATCCTTTCATTCCACGTAACACCTCCACTGCTCTTACACCGTAATTCACTCGCTTTTTCTTCTTTCTATTTTGATGCATTCTTATTCTCTTCTTTTCTTTTCATCAATTAACATAAAAATTTCAATCAGTTGTTCAAAATTGCTAATCAGATTATCATTGATTTAATACTTTCACGATCCAAAAAAACTTCTGAATCATCTTTACTTAAATTCTATTTTCATCAACTATTCTATTTCTTTCAATTTTTTCGAAGGAAAAATAAATGTATCAAAATATAATAATTTATATATCACACGATTAACCGAACTAATCATCGATAATCAATTCCTATTTCAAATTGGTTCTTGACCGTTTATGCTGTGATTCGTGACGGCGTTCTTTCTGCGCTCTTGTACCTCTTTCTCTTACACTATATTACTGTATCACTAAAACTCAATTTTTCATTCATTTTTTTTTTTTAATTTTTATATACATTTTTAGAATTTATATATTGAAATGCACAATAGTATTTATCTTATTTTTTTAAACTCCCAAATAACGAATAAGATGTTTTGATAATCTCGTTATTCTTTTTCTTTTACTTCTATCCTTTCACTCCCTCCACTTTCTTTCTTTCATTTACATCATTGTTTGTACCTATATATCCATCTATTCATACACTTCCGGTATACAAATACATATACTAAAAATTTCATAATGAAACATTTTCTTTTTTCAAATTGAATACATTTTCAAGAGAACTACCATTGATGTTACGATAATTGATATAGTGATTATTATTTATTTATAATTTCTTTTTCACTATTTGATAACAAATATATATGTAATAAAAATTGTCAAAAATTCTTTATTATTTATTTCAGTTTTAATAGATTCAATTTTAATTCATATTATATTCCATTTATATATTTTTTATTTTTTAAAGATATAAAATGAATAATGATAGAAATTAGTTTAATTATATGACAGATATCAATTTAAAAATTTATTTTATTCAATATTATTGGAAATATTATAAAAATTCATGTTTATTTTAAATATTATTTCAAATATTTTTATTTTTTTAAATATATTAGAATTTAATAAAAATATAACTAATGTAATATATTTTTGATCTTTATTTATTAATCAAAATATTATTTTTATTGTATAATTATTGTAATTTTGCTTTTAATTGAATATAAAATATAAGTATTTTATAAAAAAAATCTATAAATCTATTTAAAAAAAAAGAAAAAAAAAAGAAAAAGTAACCTCTACATTTTAAATCGTTTCATTGTATCTTAATGTATTACTTGTATGTATTATTATGTATACAATATTTACATAAATATATACAAATTTTGTGATAAATGTTTAAAATAATAAATATTTTAATAATTGACATTGTCTTAAATTATAAAATATTTTATTCTTATTCATTCACGTCTTTATTTTAAATATTAATATATCATTGTTGGATTTAAAACTGATAATAGAGGTTAAGTTATTGAACAATTTTCAATATTATTGAACGAAAAATTTTATTATACTATGGAATCGAATGAAATTACTTGGCAATTAGTACCAAATACAGTTGCAAATAGAATGATAGATTTTTCTTTAATACACAAACTAGTACCATCTAGAAAAATACGCCAGAGAAATAAAGCTATGAATATTGCAATTAAAGAGTTTCAGAGTTTAAAATCATATAGTCAATATATTAAAATGAAAACTTCAATTCTTCGAAATTTGTCAGATGATAGTGAAACTGATGATAATGTAAGTTTTACAGAAGATGATTACAGTATATTATATAAATCTGATCTGAGTTTAACAGAGTACATAATGCAAATATCTAATAAAAATAAAAAGTATACATGTGAATCAGAATTTGAGACTAATAAAAATGATATTGTTTCTAATTTAAAAACTAAGAAAACACATAGAGAAAAACGTAAAAGAAAATCATCAGAAAGTATAAATTTAGGTTGGCAAAAAGTTGTTAAAAAAAGAATTAAAGATTCTTCTTTTGAAACAAAAAAAACAAATATAAATGATTTAACATCTTCTAATGTAACTTCTTCTCTAATAAATGCTAAAAGTAACATACAAGATAACTTCCAGACATTTGATACAAACTGTTCTAAAGAAAGTATTTTAAATCCATCACATGAAATGTCAATAAATAATGAAATTTATACTGTAGAAAAAATTAAAGATAAATGTTCTAGAGTTTCAGATTCAAATAAAATAAAACATGATATAAATATAGTACATGAAACAGTAAACAAAAATAATGAATTAGAAGTATCAAATCTTGTGTTGAATAATATTGATGAAAAGTTTCATTTAAATGGAAATTATTCTTATGAATTACTTGATGATTCTAATACAAAATTAGTAAAAGGAATCAAGAAAGAAATGACTTCATTATCAAATCATAATAATGAAAATCAAAATCCTAATGATTCTTGTATAAATAAAAATATACTTTTGATTCAAAATTGTAATCAATCAGAGAAAAATTTAATTAGAAAAGAATTGAAAGATCAGCTTTTAGTTATAGGCAATACATATCAACCAAAAGATTCAGGTATTGAAGAAGATTCAGAGGAAGAAACTTCAGATCATAAAAAAAACATTATAAAAAAGTTAAAAATATAATTCAAAATACAGAACAAAATATATCAATTACTTCTCCACAATCCACAAAAAATAATTTGATAGATTGTGATAATAATTCTGAAAGGCACATGTCAAATAAATCAGATAATAAAGATATGATATTACATGTAGATAAAAATATAAATGAAATAATATATAAGGAAAAGAGAGAAAAACATAAAGTACAACCCAAAGTTACTCACACAGAAATTGTTAATAGGAAGTATAAAATAATATGTGATACATCTGTATTTGATAATCATAGTGAACCAGATGAATTAGATTTTTATGATGAAAAACATGAAATAAAGGAAGCACAAGAAATAATGGAAGATAATATTTCCCCTAAGGATAGAAAACGAGTACAACAATTAAGAAGATTAAATTTAATTGAAGATAATAATTCTAGTGATAATGATGATACATGTTACAATGTTGAAAATATGAGAAATAAACTATTTGAACGATCTAAAGAATCAATAGATACATTAAATAATGAAGATGAAGATATAAATTCCAAACATGAAATTTCAATGAAATTTGATGAAAAATTACAAAATAATGATAAATATATTCAACATAAATCAAATTCATTAAATAATACAATAAATCATAATTTTAACAAAAAACAAAATGTAAGAAAATTAAATAAAAAGAATTTAAAAATAGAGTGTACAGTACAATCAGAAAATGTACAATCAGAAAATGCACAATCATCAATATGTGGTAGACCATGCAATGTATAAATAAAAAATTTGATTTTATTTTTTGTTTAAGCACATTATTTCTATTTTATATATTTTATTTCTTTCATTTTTTCAGTTACAGGAATTAATAAAAAAAGAAAGTTTAGTACTTGAAACAACAATACCTTCTTTTACCCTTAAGGATATAGAAACGGATGATGTTTTTCTTATTGACATTCCTTCTACGGTATAATATACATAAATTATATTGATATAGAAAAAATTCCAGAATATAATATTTTATTTTATTTCTACTATATACAGGTACTTGAAAGTGAATTAATAGGAAGTAAAATAGTTTTGACAGACAAAAAATTAAAACTTGGAAAAAAGAAATACAAAGTTGAATGTAAAAGTATAGATAGTACATCTTGGGTTTTTGCTAGTGGAAAAATTCACAAACCCTACAAAATAGGTATATATTTAATATATTGATAATAATTTCTTATATATACATATATAAATTAATATTTAAAAAATATTTTTTATTTTTAGTAAATATTAAACCAATAACAAGAGCAGTAGCAGGAGAAAAAATTACATAAAATTCATTTATCCAAATTAAGCAAAATTTGTTACATAAAAAAATGATCAATTATCAAAAATATTTAAATAATGAAAATGTAAGTAATTTGTGCAATTAATTTAGAAATTTATCTATTTATGTTTTTATAAGAACAATTTGTATCATATTTTTGCATAATTTTTTAATGATTTTAATAATAATTTTAAAAATTTATGATTGACATCTATTACAATATTGTTGATTTGTTTATAAATGTAACAATTTTGTAATTGATTTAAATATGTAGAAATCTTAGTATATGTTTTAATAAATTATAGTATATTTTTATATATATTAAAATAACACAAAAAAATCTTGAAATATATATTTTATATATTAGTAAGTATTGAAAATATATTACGCATAATTCCAGTGTTAACATTTTTATTAAATTTTATAAATGAAACTATATTTTAAATTTATGAAGTTTCCATGGCAGCAGTTGAATCTTCAGTATATTTGCCTTTATCCTTGCCTAATGCAGCAAGTCTACCTTTACTTCTTCTGTCAATAATTTTCTTACGATCTTTATCCATTTTTAATTTTACAATGACTGTCTGTAAAGCAAACAAAATTTAAATTGTAAAAAAAAAAAACAAATATTTTTATCAATAAAGATAAAGTAAAATAAAATCAGTGCCAATTTTTCTGCAGTAAAAAAGCTAAGCAAGTCAAATTCATAAATATAAAGGAGAACCCTTTTATATCAATGTAAATGACAAACATTAAGCTATTTATCTATGTGAATGATTTAATTCATCATTTATTAAAATTAGATAATATATAATAAAATACAATAAAAGAAATGACTATTTTTTTACCTTAGAGGGATCAATACCAACATACACATTAGCAGTATTAATTTTTTCACGTTGAATTCTTTCTATATATATGACGAATTTTTTCCTATATACTTGAACAACTTTGCCAACTTGTTGTCCTTTATAATGTCCACGTACAACCTGTTGAAAACAATTACAAATATTTAATAAATTAATTACCAATTATTAATATAATTGTTTTTTTAATCTTTAAATAATTCATAACATATTTAATATCCTACCTGAACTTCATCATCTTTGCGAATTGGCATAGAACGAACGTTATATTTCTGCCGAAGTTCTTTCGACAGAGGAGCCGACATAAGTCTTCTTCGAATATGAGAAGGCGCCGTAAAATGCCTCTTTCGATTTTTTTCGGCGCGAAGAAGAAACAAGTCGATTAAATTTCATTATTATTGGTTACCTGTATATGCAAAATATTAATAGATATTACTTTGGATTAATTCTAATAAAATTGAAATTTAATAATTCATAGCAAAATTATACGTTACATTTAATAGTTTAATAACAATAAATTTTTATTATTAAATTATGTATATTTATTTATATACAGATATAATAAATAGGTTAGAATAACTGTCATTAAAAATATAATTATTATTGATATCTTATAAAATTATTAATAATCATATTTATAAGTTAAAATTAATACAATTTTTATGCAAAATGTTTATTGAAATTGCTTATTTAATTCCGATTGAAATCGATTTAAATTTTAACAAACTTACCGTCAATGATTCTACCTCGTAACCCTAACCGGAAGAGCGTTTGCTTTTACAATACTTGAGATATAAATTTACCTAGTCTAGTAACTTTATAATTCACTAAATTATTTGGATTGGTTAATTGATTATCATAGTTGATCAATTTTAATCCGAATTTTTATGATAATATTATTGCGAATTTATATCCATTCAAAATTTTAATTTATTACAAAATATATTTTATAATTGAATAGATATATATAATAAATTGAATAGATTTATAATAAATTTAAATATATACAAAAATTATATATAATATATAATTTTATATATAAAATTTTATATATATATATAATATAAAATATATAAAAAAATGTGTAATCTTTCTTTAGTAGTTGCAAATTCTTATATCAAAATATAATTTCTCTTTATTTCCCCTATATTAATCTAGTTTTTTTATTTTTCTATAAATAGAAATTTTCCGCCATTAAGAAACTGATTCTTTTGACATATAACGCAGATGAATATGAGTTTATGCCATCTATATTAATCCATAGGTAGTTGTGTTGTTTTACAATTACAGTATCGTCATTTTCAAGATCTTATGAAAATATTGCCGTTATGGGGCTATTAATTATACAACGACATTCAACACATCATATAAAGCAAGTAAGTAAATAATCGGTTAACAAAACTTTTGTTTATTGAATGAAGTATGTTTGTTTATATTATAATTTTTAAAACAGTATTAAATAAGTAAAAATACTATCAGTAGATTTTAAAATATATTTTTTTTGCTTCGTGCAAATTATTTTTATTATTATTAAATTTTGTTATTTCTTCTTTTGTTCTTTGATATTGGTTTAACTATTTTTTTACTTTTACTTTTTCTAATTTTTTTTTTAAGTGATTTGATTTTATGTTGACATTTTAATAAACGAGTAGAATTTACGAAAAAAACAAGTTTTATATTATGCTAAAATTAAATTTATATTATATTAAGTTAAATTCATCAATGATTTTAAAAATTATAAAAATTATAAAATTGATTAATGAATGCTGAAGGATATATCGATAAAACAATAAATTGCAATCTTGACTTCGTAAATAAATAAAATATATTAATTATAAATTAGATATAAGTTAAACAAATTTCTGGCCGCTTTCAAAGCTGATAATACAAAAATCAAATCGGTTCAAAATCATTTGTTTATAACATCTGACTCAGCATTCGCCATTTGTTGTCCATCGAACGAATGGATTGTAAACGAAGCCAAAATGGCTTCAACATACTAGTAATCCATACGATATACATTTTTAAACATACGTAACTTTTGATACAATGATTTTTTTAGATTTAAATTCTATATTTTTAGATTTTATTCATTAAATTATTATCAAATGATTAAATAAAATAATTTTTTATCCAATATAAAAAATATGTAGATACAATAATAAAAATATATTTGTACGAGAGAAAGAGAGAGAGAGAGAGAGAGCACGAAAACATACACATTATATAATGTATATATATGATAAAAGCTTCGCAATTTAAATCACAAAAATATAAATTCAGTAAAAAATAAAGACGAAGGATATAATAAAGAAACATTGATCAAGATATAATTTCTTCGCAATTTTTCTTCAAATTTAGAATTAATTAATTAAACATATCCGTTTAAACAAATTAAATATTATAAATCGATTCTTTTCGTATATTTTCTTTTCCCGAAATGATTTTTATATTAAATGTAAAATATGTTTCTTTTTGCAATTTATTTAAATAATATATTTCTAGAATGAAAAAAATATTTAATAAAATTGTATATAATTAAAGCACATTCAGATCTATTATCTTATTTGTGTTTTAGGTCTGTAGAACAACGTGCAGATCAATCTCCTAGAAAATATTTTACTGAAAACTTATAAAAAATTATAATTTTAAATTTTGGTATTTTTTAAATCCGATGTATCAAAGTGTGATCTAACAAAAAAAATATAATATATATATATATATATAGATATATATATATATCATATATAATATATATATGTATTAGTATTTGGAAATAAAGTACTTTTTATTATATTAAATTTGGAAAAAAAAAAAAGAAAATTGGATTGCAAAATGGGTTCCACAAGACAAGATAGATCACTTAGCAGTGGAATATCTTTGCCACAGTGGATGAAAGGAAGAACCGATAGCAGGTATGTTTTTTTTTTAATTTCTTTTGAGAGAAGCATCTTAAAGTTGTTAAACTTCGACTTGTACTAAGTTGCAGGCTCATGATGCTTTAACATTATTCTTTGCTGAATAAGTAGAAGAGATTTAAACCAACGGTAAGAGGCAATTTTTTTAATTGCCCGTAAAATATTTCTGAGAATTTGTAACATTATATATAATATAATGTTATGAATACAAAAAATCAATCTAAATCATTCCATATGATTTAATTTTGAATATTTGCAAATTAATTGTTTAAAATATAAAATAAAATTTAAATTATATTATTTAAAACTTTAGTATTCCATATATATATTTTGCAAGCAAAAAGAAATATATATGATATTTGGCCAACACGTAATATAACGCGAATAAGCAGTTGATCGCATGGGCATTGTGCTATTCTTAGACTTATGACACTCTTCATGAGAGAAGTACGGCCTCGTGCAGTTTGTGTGCTGCGTATAGCGTTCTATTATTTTATTTTTCAATATTATTTCTTTTAATGTTGTTTTACGCCAAAAATTCGGATTAAATATCTTTTCATTTACGGCACGATTGCATCTAGTTTAGTGTTCAATTAATGAAGTATACGCTTAAGATTATATCGTTGATATTTATGCATTACTATAGGATTTAAAAATTATAAATAAGTATCTAATATTTTAAAAAGTGAAATTTACAAACAAGAAATATTTAATAATATACAATAAAAATATTTCATAGTTGAAAGAATTTTTTAATAGAATCGTGAGTCGAAGAAATGTGATAAAACAGTTGGATCTTTTTATAAGTAGTTTAGCCTTGTTTTTTTTTCATTGATCCTACTTCGTAAAATGTAAAATTACAGCTTTTCGCATTTTTTTTTATGCAGATTCGATTTTGACGAGACTACATTTAGTCCTCCATCTCACGACGACAGCTTCTTTTATATACGGTATCCAAAGACACAAAATCGATTATCAGTTTCGCAAGACTTTCGACCAATTGATGAAGTTTTTAATGAACAAAATATTACTCCATCAACAAATAATATAAAAACACAAGATACGCAGCAACAGATTATTGAAGAGAAGAAAAAAAATCAGGAGATTGATTTTAGCAAGCATCCTTTATCTTGTCAACAATTTATACCAACAACAAATAAAGGTATTAATATTAATTATTATATGTATTTTTTGTACGATTCGTAATTATATAAATGACAAAATAGAATGAAATATAAGAAATATTGTTTCATATTTTGTGTATTATATAATTGAAGTTTTGTGATTTTGCATTCTAGGCAATGACACTAAATCAAGTCTAAAAACATCAACCAACAATACGAAAATTACAAAATCACAAGGAATAGATGATGGATTTCATGGTGAATCAGCACTTTGTGGAAAATCGATTGTTCTTGTAGCCAGTCAGATAATGTCTAACAAACTTCACGAAAATTTCTCGGCCGAACAGGCTGACAAACAATATAAAAAAGGAAGTAAATCTTTACCAGCTACTCCACTCGCTTCGCCCGCAGGCAGTCCAAATAGTTCCCCGAAAACTCGTCGACGTGTTCCTTCTAATCGGTATTTTACTAGCCCATTTCTTCTTGATCGTGAAAAATATCAAGGAGGTTGGATCTTATCAAGCATCTTCGGACAATCTAGGGAAATTGTTACTGGTAAAATTGACGAAGAGGACGAAACAGATGTTTCAGCTCCTTCACTTAAAGCATTTGCTCGAAAAAAATCTATTTCATCGCAAAATCTCACATATGTCGGAAGTGATGAAAAACCAGTTGAAAAACCAGCTTTCTCAAATGTATTTCAAGCAAAACCATCAGAATTAAGAGAGATGAATTTTTGGTCCCCGACATCAATGTGAACCAATATATAATATAATATTTTTAATTCTATTTATATGCGTATTATTACTACGTTTTGAGTTTAATTAATCATTATAATTTATCATTAGTAGTTAATTTGGAGATAAGAATTTATTTAAGAACACGATAAAAATTTGTGCATGATATTATCCATCTATTAAATTTTCTAAAATTAACGAATGCATTGATAAAAACGGAAAAAAAAAAAAAAAAAAAAAAAAAAAAA